CATTTTTCATTATATACTTTCAAATTACACAAGCAATATGATCATGTTCTACAGAATCAGCATTATTTAATGAAATATCCCTGCCACTCAGAATGAGAATGAGCAATAATTTTAAAGGAGGACTGTAGGGTATTACTATTAATACTATAGAGTTCAGTGTTTCTCAGCCTTATCAATTTTAAGATATGTAGAGGTCAACTCCTAGAATGCTGACTGGGGCATTCTGGAAATTGAAGTCCACAGATTTTAAAGTTGCTGAGAAACACTGCTAAAGTCATTCACTTAACATTTCATTTGCCTCTTGACACAAAAACATTAGGAAATTTTAAAGAACAATTAAACTGATTTTTTCAGTCTTAAAAAGAATCAACTAAAAGGCTTCTGATACTATATCTATATTTCTTTTGCAGTTTTGAGTAGGTTAATTAAGTAGATTCCTTCATCACATTATTTTAAAAAACCTGTTTGATAAACAAAGATTAGTTAACAGTTTTTAATATTTTTAATTTCTAAGCACTAAAGATAGAGGAATATATTAGTTAATGTCTTGATTCACTGGCACTATGAAAACTAAACCCTTTTGAGCCAAATTAGGTCTTTTTGAAAGAAAACTTCTATAGTTTGTTTTATTTAATTGGTACATGTTCTGCGTTGACAACAAGGGCTAAACTAAAACAAAAGGAAAACAGAAAACACTGAAGCATGTCCAAACGTGACTTAAAAAAACTTAAATAGCTGCACAAAAAGATGCTATTTTAACCCCTTGTCCAAATGCAATCCCCCACTCTATATTACTCCTATGAAAAAAGGTTTTTTTAACCATAAAAAAGTAACACAGTATTTAATAAAACAAAAGAAATCAGCAAATTGAATACAAAAGTATCCAAAAACTTGGATTCAAAATGTTTATAACTTAAATAAACCAGTCAATTCTGATCAGCTTGAAAATAAAAACCCTTTTCAGGATCTTTTTAGAATAACTGCTTAAATGCTGGTACAGCTAATGCTCAACTTTTCTAGAATGTAAATAAGGACATTTCTTTATTCTAAAAAATATACCTTAATAGAAATCAAGAAGATTAAGAAATCAGTGTATCTTCTATAGCTCAATACCTTATTAACTTAAAAGTCTGATTCCATAAAATGAAAAGAAATAGGAAAAAGCTAGATTCACAGTATTTATTTAAAAAGTCATTGTTTAAGGTTTATTGAACAAGTCACAATGTCTGCTTCCATACATAACATAAATACAAGCTCTGATTTTAAGAACACAGTGACGAATTCACACAACATGCCAAGCTAAAACAAAACAAACTCATTACAGCTTAGCTTGAAGAGTGAATCCAGCAAGACAGTGATGTCAGGATGAGCACCCAAAGTTGGCATACTATACATCCCATCATTTGGCAAGTATTTCACATACTGAAACCTATTTTTCATTCTTTTAAGAGATCACCAGAAACGTGAGAGAAGAAGATAGACTACAGGTCGTCCTCAAATTTACAACCACAATCCAGCCAAATTTTATTAGTTGTTGTGATTGTTAAGCGGGTCACCAAGTGACCTAATTTTACAACCATTTTTACTCTGATCACAAAGCAAGTTACCATGATCATTAAGTGAACCAAATGGTTGCTAAGGGAGTTTAGTATATCTATTGGCCATATTTTGCTGGAAAAGACAAAAAAGTTGCAAATCATGGTCATGTGACTGCAGGATGCTGCAACTGATTGTAAATGTGAACCAGTTGCTAAATACCTGAAATGTGATGATGAGACTGCAAGGGCCAGTTGTACGTAGCATTTTAAAGTCCATCATAAGTTTGAATGGTCATTAAATGGCCAGTCATAAGTCAAGGGCTACCTGTAATGTATACTTACAAGACAAACAATTAAGTAATACAAAGCTACTCAAGCTGGCTGCTTGTCACTTGAAAAAGGTAATAATTGGCTCTATAAATCATAGATACTTACTGAAAGTTTTGCAGATGTCAGATACTGCTTTAAAGACTCTGTCAGAAAAGTTCACTTTCACTTTTACATACTTCATGTTGGGAAGCTGGAGTCGGAGCAGTTTGTGTTGAGGAGTGAACTGTAACTTTGCATCAGCCTGTATTCCATACTTATCTAAAGTCCAGTGTGTTTTAAGGAGCCAGGTTTTCTTCTTTTCCCACCATAAGGCATGGTCGGACCAATCTTTCTTGACATCTAGGAGCACAAAGATACACAATTAGGAAATTAAAGAGAAATGGTGAGCAACTAATTCACAGTGCTTGGACAAAATGTGTTTTGTATATTTTATATAAAATACCAATGATTTTTATTTCATGTATTTATTCACCCAGCCAGTTATTCTTGCAAAAGACAAGAGTGAAATAAGGATCATTCAACGTCTGAAAATTTCGTTAACATCAATTTATTTTTCACACCTGACACATGACAGCTGCTGGTTGAAAATGGCCAATCTTGACAAGACTAAGAAACCAAGCAGGATCAAATCTGTGGTATCTGACACACCACCAAGAATGGCCAAGAGGTAAAGATAAAAATCCCCTCAAGTCAAGCTAAATTTCTCATTCCACGTTACTTGATCATATTTTCAGCCACAGTGAAAAAAAAAAGTACTTTTGGTATTTTGATAATTCCATATGCTAGGGATATAGCCAAAGAGGATATGTCCATTAATATACATAAGTTATTAACAATTTGGATAACCTTAGCACAAAATAAGCTGAGTCCAAATTGTGTAAGTTAATGTTCCAACATCTGCATTGCATCTCCAGCTACTATTAACAATTCCCTGATGTGTCCCAATAGCAATTGTTCCTCCAACTGGAGAATATTTCAGAATTGAGGCATTGCTGCAAAAATGGTTCTTTTCTTTCCCACCGGATATAAATGTTCCAGTAAATAAAGCTAAAAGCCCAATTACATAAAATGCTTTCTGAAAAGAAAGGTCCACTAGAAATCCTGAAGAAAATTAGTATAATTCAGATACAATAGGATTTCATAAATACAGGACCAGAGAATTCAATGCCTTTCCTACCTCCCAGATAACTGATCTTATGTGACGAGGTAAATAGGATATTTGAAATTAATCTTTGTGTAAGTAAAGGCAGCATTTTGGATAAGCTTTATATGACTTCTGATTTATGATTAAGTTTCACTGTTCAAAGCATAATGGTAATGGTAATTACATAAAATGCTTGCAATTAATAATATATGCCATACTGTCAGGATCTTATAAATCGCAGGTAAACTATACAAAGAATATCAGAAAATTGATTATAAAGAATTTTTTATTCTCTTCCTCTCCCTCAAAATACAGGACATTTCTTTAGATAACATGTAGATTTAGGCAACCCAGAAAACATACAGAAGCACTATATTGTTAACTCATAATCTCTAAATTTTTGAAAAGCTCAAGTGGACAGAGAGATGAGAGGTACAGTTGAATTCAGAGTCATCCTACATGGGGTCATAAATATCCACATCATTCTTTAAAAACAAAAAAAGGGAATAATCTTGGCTTAGGTAACATAGCTGGAAAAGAGCAGCAGCAGCCATAATTCTCAACAGCATGGCATTCTATCGTCAAATTAAACAAAGCCAAATATAGAAAAGCATGCAGCATGCAGTCAGACTTGGCTGCTCTCAAAGAAATCTGTCAAGTGATTATGGTGAACTCTGGTCCAAACGTTTGCTTCTCTAAAACACGTCAAGAGTAAGGGAATGATTTCGGCACTGAAAGATGTTGTTTATGAGCTCTCAAGAAGTAGAAGTTTAGATTTAAATGTGGGTTATAAATTTAAAAGTCACTGGCTTTCTTATCAGCCTACTGGGCTACAATTAATATTAAAAGATTTATCTTTTTTTTTTACATTGGCTTTTGACAATTTAGGCATACAACAATCTATTAGAAATAAAGGACAGATCTTCTTTCATCCAGGTTTAAGAAACTGAGAGCATCCTGCATGATATTCTTCTTACCTATTGTATGCAGTGTTTGAATTCTTCACTTGGGAAGGGGGGGGAGGAGGTCTTAATATAGATTATTTATTTTATAGCTATCCAGTGCTGTGAAGACATGAAACCAAGGAAGAAATTGGAAACTGAACCGGGCAACTTTCTCACTATCTTGCAAGAACATTTTTTTTAAACTGAAAAATATCGAAAGACCAAAAAACAGTAAAAAAAAATCCTCCTCTTATTAAAATAATTTATTTTGGAAAGAGAGAATTCTCTATAAGCAAGACTTTGCTCACACAAAATGTCTCACATGTAAATGACAAACAAAAAGAACTTATAGTACTGGACTATTTAGTACTTCTTGTAAGGGATAGAATTCAACTTTATAAAGTTGATTTGTTAATGCCAGTTCTGCCTAAACCAGCTTTAAGTGGACTTTTATGTGAAATTTCATGGAAGACAAGGCTACCTGTGCAAGAACGTTCCTCTGCATTCATACCCTTTGGATTTCCCAGAGATATTGGGACAGCCACTGTAGAAACCAACTAAACCGCCCTTGGTCTGGCCAAGCACTGTTCTTTTGATGTCCTGATTATAGGTTTAGTTTAATACTGTAAATCAGTTAAGTCTGAAGTCTGCTCTAAAAATATATCTCCTCTTCACTGTAAAATTTATAGCTTCTCTTTTAAATTTTTATGTTTCCAGCTAAATAAGGTAGGGTTTGCTTTCTCTATGGTATTTAATTTTGTTTGGACAGCATTTATATCCTGAAGCTGCAGGTTATAGGCACATCATTTGGAAACTAGTACTATCTCAGTGAAATAGCATTGATTCATTGGGAGTAAATGCTAAAGTGAAAGACTATTTTCTTTCTGAAAGCAACCTTTTTCTCACAGCTTGCATGGAGAATATCTATAGCACCATGAATGAGACTATGGTATAAAAGGCTGATTGTGCATTCCATGTTAACTCAGCACCAAATTTAACAACAGAAAAGGAACAGATCAAGAACCCCCCCCCCAAAAAATGTGGCTTGTGATAATTTATCCATGGCTAAGAAGTCTGCACTGGGCCAATATGTTTATGTTTTAAACTTTTATCAATAATTGCAAGAAGTTACAGAAAACCAGACAAAAGCTGCCAAAAATTCAGTAAGGTTTCTAATAGCTGATGCAAAAAAAGAAATGTTGAGATGGCCCAGAAATAGTTATTCAACAGAGGCCAAAGAACTGTTCAGAAGGAGCAGTTTCAGGAAAAGAGGAGTAATTCTTTTGAGCAATTGTTGGGCAAATGAAGACCTGAAACTACTCTATCATAGACCTTCAAAAAGTAATATCAATATTTCAATTTCCTGAAGATTCCAAGCCTGATATCCTTGGCTAATACATTAATTTATCATTTCAGGAAACTGAGATATTTTATGTATGCTTGCTGCTACATAAACAGGTCGAAATTAAGCAGATTTCCCTCAGGAGAAACAAGGTTGACATTGCAGCTATAATTAAAAGAATAGTACCCACTAAACTTTACTCCATGCAAGTCCCTCAAATCAGGGCTTAAACTGAGAAATAATGTCAGCCTCTCCTCCCTATATTCTAAGTATATCTTTTAACATGTAACAATAATAGGAAAAAAAGTTTTCCCTCAAACATAAAAAGTTTTAGTACTTTAGTACTAAAATCCAGGATCAATTGTAGTGTAGCGGTCCTCCAGATTACCAGTTTACTGCACATCATCAGAATGCCCAACTTACACAAAATTTATTGCTCGTCTGCCACTGATATCAAGTGTGGATACATTAGTGTCTTTCCACAATATCTTCTCGCTCCTACCCAGCCAAATTTTGAATGTTTCTGATTATAATCCATATATACTAGAACTACTAGACTATTTTGCTAGCTTAAAACAGACTTATATTGTGTTCGCAGCAAAGAGCTAGATCATGGGAGAAAGACAAGGAAAGCAAATCTTGACCCAATTCTTCCTGTGAAATTCAGATGCAGCGTGAGACCATTCACTAGGAAAACCACCAATAGCTCTGACACCTAACATTCCAGCATTCTAATAATAATAGACTGCCAATCCTTATACAAAGAGCTATGAATGATTAAAACAGCACAAAAGTATTGACATCCAATATTTTATTTATGTATTTGTGCAATAAATCCCAGTAGGTCTAGGCAGTTTACAAATATTAAAGTAACAATGGTACATTACATGGAATCATTAAAATGGAAATAATACAAACATAGGCACAGTCAATCCTCAAAAGACTTCAAAAAAGGGCAGGGTTTTCAGCCTCAGAAATGCTATCAATAAGAAGGGAACTGCTAAGAAAGAATGCCATTGTCAGGCTCTTTCCTACCACCTGACCTTAGTTAGCATTCCCTGCCAAAATCTGCATGAAAAGCAATCTTTACTACAACCAGACTCTAAGCCCTATAGGACCATAAAGACAACAGCTAGCATCTTGAATTACATTTATACTGGCAATCAGCATAGCTCCTCTGCAGCAGTGGTTTATCAGGGCAGTATCTATTGTATTCTACACTAGCTGAAATTTTTGGGTAGTCCTCCGAAGCAGACCCAAGTAGCATACATTACAGCAATCAAAATGGAAGATGATAAGAGTATGAATGACTGTCCTCAGGGCATCCCATTCCAGGTGTGCGGTATTTGCACACTTGTTGAGTAGACGTGAGAGCTTGACCTCTGAGACAGCACAACCCTATAAAGAGTGAAGAATAATATTATCCTGGAATCAGGAGATTTCTGAATTAATAGCCATTCCATTTTGCTTGGATAGAATCTGAGCCTACTTTGTCCCACTGAGATATTGACAATCACTGGGCACTGAGATGGGATTTCTACCACATCTCTTATTGGGTCCATGGTGGCAATGTAAACATGGATGTATTTTGGTGATATGTTACATGAACTGATATGACCTCTCACAACAGTTTTATGTAGATGTTAAAACAGGATAACAAAGACCAAACCCTAACCCTATAACAGAGCATCCTAGACTGATTTCTCATCCTCTGTGCCACAGACTGAAATAGTCTGCTCAGAGAGGGGTGGAACCATTGTGGAACTATAACACAGGCACCTCAGAAAATACAGTGGTGAACACTACTGAAGGTTAATGTATGTACTATAGTCATGCAGATACTTCAGCAAGGTTCACAGGATCAGAATACTTGACTGCAAAGATTCCCAATCATTGGGACTCATAGATA